AGGGAGGGAGGAAGGAAGGAAGGAAGGAAGGAAGGAAGGAAGGAAGGAAGGAAGGAAGGAAGGAAGGAAGCAAGGAAAAAAAAAGAAGTATGACTGTAAGTAATGGTGCACCTTTAATCCCAGCACTCGGGAGGCAGAGATAGACAGAGCTCTGTGAGTTCGAGGCCAGCCTGGTCTACACAGAGAGTCTCAGGCCAGCCAGGGCTACATAGTGAGACGCCGTCTCAAGAAAACAAAGAGAGGAGGCTGGAGAGTGGCCTGGCACCTCCTTCCCAGGGGTGGAAGGAGAAAAGAGAGGAGGAAAGAGCAGAGAGCCGTACAAGGTAAGTACAGAGCCAGGGAAGAGAACCTGCAGGCCTTGGCTGCCACAAGAGTTCCAGAGCCTTCAAGGTCAAGTATCCCAGGGTCCAGGGCAAGGGCTGTAACACTGGCTGCTTCTATTCCAATATCGGAGGCCTACAAAGGGCTGTTATATTAGAGAGTGCTTCCGGAGACCAAAAAAGGGTGCCAGATCCCCTGGAGCTGGAATTACAGGCAGTTATGAGCTGCCCGATGTGGGTCCTGGGAATGAAACACACTGGTCCTTCAAGATAAGCAAGTACTCTTTTTGTTGTTGTTGTTGTTGTTGTTTTTTCGAGACAGGGTTTCTCTGTGTAGCTTTGTGCCTTTCCTGGGACTCACTTGGTAGCCCAGGCTGGTCTCGAACTCACAGAGATCCACCTGGCTCTGCCTCCCGAGTGCTGGGATTAAAGGCGTGCGCCACCACCGCCCGGCTAAGCAAGTACTCTTAACAGACTCAACTATGTGCCATCTTGACTATGAAGACAGAGCAGGAGTAATTCTTCCGATCAGCTTCAGAACAGGATGCCGTAAGCCCTGAGCTACCCACTTGGGGATGTGAGGCAGGAAATGCTCATCTTGCACAAGCCGCTCATTTTGGCTCCTTTCACACAGAGACAAATTTATTCATAACACAGAGCTCCTAATGACAGCAACGAACTCTCAAGTGGCGTCTAGGTCGGCATCTGGGGTAGAGACATAATTCCAGTGTATCCTTTGTGGATGAAAACACAGGCCGAGAACTCGCCGGAGATTATTTCACAGTGACGACCCCAAGAACAAAGCAACACAGAGCTGGAGAGGTGGCTCTGGGGGTTAAGAGTGCTTATTGCAGCTGGTGGTGGTGGTGCACGCTTTTAATCCCAGCACTCGGGAGGTAAAGACTGGCGGATCTCTGTGAGTTCGAGGCCAGCCTGGTCTACAGAGCGAGATCCAGGACAGCCAGGACTACACAGAGAAACTGTCTCAAAAAACAAACAAACAGCCGGGCGGTGGTGGCGCACGCCTTTAATCCCAGCACTCGGGAGGCAGAGGCAGGCGGATCTCTGAGTTCTAGGCCAGCCTGGGCTACCAAGTGAGTTCCAGGAAAGGCACAAAGCTACACAGAGAAACCCTGTCTCGAAAAACCAAAACAAACAAACAAAGAGTGCTCATTGCTCTTCCACTGGACCCAAGTTCACCTCCCAGCACCCACCCTGGAAGGCTCCGAAGTGCCTGTAATCTCTGCTCCAGGGGATCCAATGCCCTTTTTTGGCCTCAGAGGGCACTTTATATATGTGGCGCACAGGCACATAAAAGTGAATACAAATTTACAAGAGTGAAGCAATGACCCATTACCAAGAAGTTTTAATGAATGGCCATCAGCGGTCAGTGAGGGACAGTGTCGGTCCCACACACCTCAATCTCCACGGTGTCTTAGAGACACTAACCAGGCAAACCAGGAGGAAGCCTGCCCCGGCTGCTGGTGCCCTTGGTTCTGGGCTAGTTTCCTCTATGAACAATGATGCTGTCAGCTGGGCATGGACACATGACTGTAATCTCAGCATTTGGGATGCTGAGACAGGAGGATCAGGAGTTCAAAGCCATCCTCAGCTAGTTAGTGGGTTTGAGGCCAGGCTGGGTTACAAAAGACCCTGTCTCAGCCAAAACCGAGCGATGAAGGTATTAAGCCACTCTTTCCAACCATTACTATCCAGGCCTGCCCCTGCTCAGCGGCTCCGATCAGATGGGATCGAGTGAGTTCAGGGCCGCAGGCTCACCCTGGCTCTCCCCAGCCTTTCCTCCAGCAGGAAGTCCTAGTTCATTCTCTTAGCTCCTTTCCGACGTGTGCTCCTTCGGACATGAGAAATAATCCACGTAAGGGCCTTGTCACGGTGCTGGCACATGAGAAATCATCCATGTAAGGGCGTTGTCACGTGACCATCGTGAGACCAGGAGCTAGGCCAGACACCAGCTGAGGAAACAGGTTACTCACTTTGCAGCCTCTTGCCCAGAGTAGGGGCTCAGCCTTTGCTGATGTCCTCTGGGAATGCTGCTGGTCCTATACGAGGCTCAAGCCCATTTCTTTGTAAAGACTGTGTGTGTGTGTGTGTATGTGTGTGTGTGTGTGTGTGTGTGTGTGTGTATATATACACGTGTGCGTGTGTGTACGTGTGCGTGTGGACATGAGGACAGTGCCTGCAGAAGACAGAGGGAGTGACAGGCCCCCAGGGGCTGGAGTGACAGGCAGCTGTCAATCACCTGAGGTGGGTGTTGGGAAGAGCAGTGGGCACTCTTAACCACTGACCACTTCTCTAGCCCTTGACCACCCCCACCCCCACCCCATCTACAAACACCAGCAAGAAAGACCCAGGAAAAAAGGACACTTCATTCCAGGTTACATGAACTCATGAGACAAAAGCTCATGGTGGAGGAGGAGGAAACACCATTTATTTACAGTCCATTCACTTTATCCACAATTTCCCATACAAACATAAAACTAAAAAAATAAACCCACCACTTGGGAACACAAGTGTCTCTTTAATTAGTCGGAGGGAGGCCACGGGTCCTCTCATCTGTGGAGGAGTCCGAGGCACACCAAGGGGAGGGCGGGGCACAGGGAAGAACGCCTGAGAAACAGCTTGGGCGAGGGACCGAACTCGGGGAAGGAAGGACACGGGCGAGTGAGCTTTAGGGGTGTCACCCCAGGAGCGCTGCCCGGCTGCCCGGCGGGTGGACCGCCACTGGCCTGCATCCTCCCTTTCTCCACTACCAGACGCCACAACCTGAGCATGGGTCCGCCACCTCGTGACTGTGGGGAGTGTGATGGTGACAGGGGACACCTGATGCCGCTCTCTGGGAGGAGGCCCCCACCTTGGGGACACACAGGGATCCCGATTCTCTTGGCACTGACTTGTCGGCCAGCTTCTGTCCTGACCACAGTGCTGACTTCCACGGGTGACGAGGCTGGGAACACAGAACCTGAGGGAGGGCGTCTGCCTCTGCGGTCCTTCCCGGGGAGGCTGCTGGGGTGAGCGGAGGGAGGCTCTGCAGTGGAAAAGGGGAGGCCGGGGGCTAGGTGTTCACAGAGGCCCTAGGAGGGACGGCGAGGCGGGACGGGGAAGGGCGGAGGCTGAAACACGGACGACGCGCAGCTTGTCGCTGGCCACAGGCTGCTCCAGATGGCTCCAGGCCCCAGGCCCCTTCCCTGAAGCTACCCGCCCAGCAGCTTCATCTCATGACCTGGATTGCGTTCATGTGTCAATGCACACTATAAATATAAAATCATATCTGCTACAAAGAGGACATAGATTTGTACACCTTTACCCATATACATAATAACACAATTTATACATAATATCTTGGAGTGGTTCACCCTGGAAAAGGGGTTTGAAGAGGTGGTTAAAAAAAAAAAGAAGAAAGAAGGGGGGTGGGGGAAAAAAAAGAAAAAAAAAAAAACCCAAAAACCAAAACCACTCTTTCTCCCTCCCCTGCCCTGGTCCCTCTCAAGGGACCACAGATGCTTGGTCCCTCAGGTCCTTCCCAACTGTTTCTGATGGGTTAGTCTGAACACAAATTCAGACGGGACAAAATGCCGATGGGCTCGTACACACACACACACACACACACACACATGTGCGCATGCATGCACTACACACACACACACACACACACGCACACCAAATGTAAGATTCATAGAGGAGGAACGGGGAAACGCAATTCCTAGCCCTTGAGTGTAGGCCTCTCCTCAGGGTTATGAGGATGGTGTCTCCTCCACCTGAGAAGGAAGGGCTCACTCCTGTGTCCTGGCTCAGCGGGGGGCAGGAGGAGGTGAGGGCGGGGCAGCAGGGTCTTCTGAAAACATAGTGTCTCTGACCTGTGACGAGATTAAATGAGTCACAAACAGCGACGGCCCGAGAGCCTAATACCCTGTGCCCCGGGCATGGAAATGTAGAAAAAAGAAAGAAAAATAAAACCACCCGCTGGGTCCTGGGCAGAGCCAGCAGGTGCACATATGGACAGTGTGGGGCAGACCTGGAGCCCCCCTCCTTTTGTCCAGTGTCTCCCGAAGGGAAAGACAATCGTCGCCTCCTCTGCCTCTCCCAGAGTCGGGCCCATCCACAGGGCACAGAATACTGACAGTGGTCCCAGACACGCATCCTGAGACACAACGTGGCGGATGCTGTGAAGTGAAGACCTGGGCGGTGGCGGCAGCGGCGGCGGCAGCGGCGGAGGGTGAGCTTTGTACAGCAGGAGTGATTCCTGGCCGGGGCCCACGGCTTGCACAGTGGCCACAGTGATGAAATCGCCATCAGAGATGGGGCAGTCCGGTCCCCGGGCGGGGAGACAGCACCTATCGGCGGTAGTGGTTGGGGGCGTCCGCAAACATGTACTTGAGTCTGTACGCCTCGGCCAGCAGCAGCCCGATCTCCTCGTTGCCCCAGTGGATGGTCGGCAGGTTCTGCAGCAGCATGAGGAGGCCCTGCAAGGGAAGGGAGGCCTTTGTCTCTGCAGTCTATGGCCCAGGCCCAGAAGACCCTCTGTTACAGGACCTGGAGTGGGGCCTTCCTCCTGGGCCACATGACCCCCAGGGTCCAGCCTTCTGCCTCCTGAACATCAGGCAGTCCTGGGCCCCTTGCTCAGTCCAGGAAGTTCAAACCCCCGCCCTGAGTCTCTGACACACTAACACCCACCTCTTCAAAATACTATGAGCAGAGAATGACCACAATAAAGATGGTAGAAAGACCTGGGTGGTGGCGGCGCACACCTTTAATCCCAGCACTCGGGAGGCAGAGCCAGGCGGATCTCTGTGAGTTCGAGGCCAGCTTGGTCTACAGAACAAGATCCAGGACAGGCACCAAAACTACACAGAGAAACCCTGTCTTGAAAAACCAAACCAACCAAACAAACAAAACCACTGCTTCCAATTGCACATGCCTACTCTGGGGGTAATCCTTCAGTCGATTTCATATATCTAGCTGTTTCTTAATTGTACTTTGGATTTTTTTTTCAGATTTTATTTTATTTTTGGTTTTTTGAGACGGGGTTTCTCTGTGTAGCTTTGAGCTCTGTGTAGTTTTGAGCGACTATGTGGGTGCTGGGAATTGAACTCAGGACCTCAGGAAGAACAGCCAGTGCTCTCAACTACTGAGCCACCTCTCCAGCCCCCAGACTTTAGTTTTAATTGTGTGTGTATATATCTGTGTGAGTATGTACATGTGAGTGTAGATTCCCATGGAGGCCACAAGAGGGCACCAGACCCTGTGGAGCTGGAGTTACAGTAGGCTGTAGGCTCCCTGGCACAGGTTTGAGGAGTCATCCTCTGCAAGAGCAGTACCTGCTCTAAACTGCTGAGCATTTCTCCAGCCCCTACTCTGTCTTTTAAGACAAGGCCTTGTGTATCCTAGATTGATATTAAGCTTTTTATGTAGCCAAGGATGACTCTGAACTTCTGATCCTCCTGCCTCCACCTCCCAAGCTGGAATTACAGATGTATGTTCCATGTCCAGATTCCTTTTTACAAGTTTTCATTGCAATGTTTTCATATAGTAAGCTATTTTTTCTCCAGTGCTGGAAACTGAACTCAGGGCTTCATACAGCAAATGCCTTAATCACTTTTTAAAAAGTATAATCTGGCCGGGCGGTGGTGGCACACGCCTTTAATCCCAGCACTCGGGAGACAGAGGCAGGCAGATCTCTGTGAGTTCAGGGCCAGCCTGGTCTACAGAGTGAGCTCCGGGATAGCCAGGAATACACAGAGAAACCCTGTCTCAATAAAACAAAGCAAAAAACAAAAACAACCAACCAAACCAAACCAAAGTATAGTCTTTTCTCGGCATGGTGGCTCACACCTGTAATTCCAGCACTTGGAAGGCTGAGGCAGGAAGATGGCTGCAAGTTCCAAGCCAGCCTGGACTGCAGAGCACAGCTGTCTGAGAGCACAGCTGTCTGTCTGAGAGCACAGCTGTCTGTCTGAGAGCACAGCTGTCTGTCTCAGAGCACAGCTGTCTGTCTCAGAGCACAGCTGTCTCAGAGCACAGCTGTCTGTCTCAGAGCACAGCTGTCTCAGAGCACAGCTGTCTGTCTCAGAGCACAGCTGTCTGTCTGTCTCAGAGCACTCTCACAAATGGTGACCTTTGTGCTTGCTTCTGTAGCACTTACACTAAAACTGAAGCAATACAAAGAAAACTAGCTTGGCCCCTGGTGGGATCTGTGGGGGGCGGGGGGACGGTGTGTGTGTGTGTGTGTGTGTGTGTGTGTGTGTGTGTGTGTGTGAGATAATCCTCATGGTTTTCCACTCAGCCTTCGCAAATGAGTATTTCAAAGGAAGCAGGCCATCACACGGCTACATGCTCATTTATCTACCTATTTTCCTTTTGTTAGATCCTTAATTGGGTTCTTCATTTACAATCATTCCTGTTGAGACTGCAGAGTGCAGCCCCTGCATTTAACACCTCCCTAATCTCACCGGCAACTGACAGAAGCATCTACCTGCTGCCAGCACGCCAAAGCACAGCACCTGGTCCAAAATGTGAGCCCCAGTTCTCAGCCTCTCTGTCCAGCTACTGCCCACTGCTCCCTCTGCACACACATCCACTGTAGAGTATAAGACTCTTAATCTCGCCGGGCGGTGGTGGCGCACGCCTTTAATCCCAGCACTCGGGAGGCAGAGCCAGGCGGATCTCTGTGAGTTCGGGGCCAGCCTGGGCTACAGAGCG